TTTGAAAGACACAATTTCCCGGATTAAAATCCAAATATAGGTACTCAGACGAAAAAACCAAAAAAAAAAACCCCAAAACAATTTTAATCTTAATTTGAGTTCATGGTCACCCATTTTTCTTCTGTTTTCCGCCGGCCATATTTGTTCTTTAAATCGTCAGTCAACTTATGAACGAATCTTATTACTAGGCCTATTTATAAAACACTTTTTAACCCTACTTTCTTGATAAATATAAATGTTTATTCTCCTTGTAGGATATGTCTTAGGCTACTTAAAACCAGAGTTTCCGACATTACGGACACTTTGGTTTTACAAAAGCCATGTAAAAAAAGAAAATAAATAAAAATAAAATTTTACACCTTTCATTAGGCCCCTATTGGCAAAACGAAACAGAAATCTTGGCAGGTGAATTGATCTTAACCTAATCCGGGGCGTTTCCTAGATTTAGATAGAAATGTCGGTCATTAATGCTTGGAGCGTCAGGTGATGGGCCTTCAAGAAGATTGACAATTGATGGATAAAGACGGACATCCCTTGATCTTGTTTTGCACGCAGGGTCAAGTTGGGGGTCACCGTACGACCGTAGGCCTAACTATTTTGTTTCTCCAAATATAGGATGTATATTTCAACCATCCATGACGAAAATACAACCCCAAGGCTTTAAAACTTTAAAATCTAGACCAGTTTAAACAAATCGACGTCATTGATACTGTAATTATCTAACCTTGATACACAAACAATGATTACGTCAATAAAATGAAGTTTTATACACCAAATGATGACGTAATGTAACACGGCATCCTATAGTGCGGTAGATCAGGGGATCTATTAAAGATCTGCATCTACCTATTAAAACTCACAAGAGAATTACCCCCATCCGGTGATAGGGCCTACCCGTTAAATTGAGCAAATCAGGAAAACACGACATGGCTTATTTTATCCTGTGAACCAATTTGGTTTCGGTTTTTTTTCTGATTTTTTTACACCACATTAATAGAACGCAACATAAAATAAAATAAAGGGTCATTTGAATTAGAATTCCTTTGGCGGTGATTATTTATCTGGGATGCGACCTAGGTTGTACAAGGTGGTGTGTCGTAGAAAAGGGAATATATATATGGTCTGACATGGAACAGCGTCTTGTCGTTCAGATGGGACGAGAACCGATCGAGATCCCGTGTACAAGTTGACGTGTACGACGGTGTACGTAAAGGGCACTCACACATACCAGTTTTCATCTCCCGGTTGGTGCAGAAGAAAATAGGACGTTAAACCCCATTTTATTCATTCATTCATTTTGTTAGCAGTGGTGGACGGTGGTTTTCCCGATTTCTCAGCAAGTCTTTATCATCATTCCAGCAAACAATGTCATCACCATAGTTTACTCTCACTAGCCAGTAGCCACTAGGTTACTCTACTACTCGGGATAATCTTTAGAGCAGTGTACTTCTTGGGGGTTGGATTGTAGGGTGGAATTCGTACATTGGTCGGGGTCACGGGTCACATAATTGGGGTCAATGGGCTAGACTAAACAAATACAGCCTTTATGACCTAAAATATTATATAACAGAGAACCCTATATAAGGATACGTGTGTTTTTACTTTGTTAAGTGTAACCGAAGAAATATTATTTTACCCCTATTGTCTATGGTCGATTCTGGCCGTGAGCGATCAGTTTGAACGTCTTTGTATGTTGAAGCGTTTTGAAACTAATGGTTCATCTACGTCAGTATTAGTGAGGCTGAGAGGGGTGGGGTGGGGCGTATTTCACTTCTTTGTTTTTCGGGTTGTTTTCTTAAGTGTATTCGTTACAATCAAAGGTTAAGACTATAACACAATCATAAATAATTGTATAGTCACATCACTTAAATATAACTTAAGTTGTCACCATGCATTTACCATGTACATGCATGAATTTCTATTGATTTCAACCCTTATTCACGAAAACTTAAACTAAGATACAATCGAAATTTTAAGAAATACTACAATTCGATTGGCTGACCAGTAAAATCAATTTGCATATATCCAATTTGCATATTGGTCAGCCAATCGAATTGCAGTATTTCTTAAAATTTCGATTGTATCTTAGTTTAAGTTTTCGTGAATAAGGGCCCTGAGATTTAACGTTCTGATATATGCCCCAACGGGATTAATAAAGATGGGCATTATACGTTATGCAGTGTGCTATGGGACAGCGGCGCAATGGCATGTACTCCTATTCCGAATTCCAACTTGCCAAGGCCAGGGTTCTTTTAATACATGTCAAAGTCCTTCTTTTCAGGGATAGTCAGGACGGTCATCCATCCAGGGTGATATGAGGGAAATGTTGTTCGGACAGCAGCGTTCATGTATGCGGCATATCTGTAAAGTATGTTCCTTGCAATCATATAACACCTGACGTCACTTCTTATATTTAGTTAAGGAATAACAAATTTGTACGTGTTGTATATTTTGTAATCGACATTTTATGTCACGTGATCAACAAATAATTCAACATGCCTCCAGCTATTTTTATTTACAATACAGACTGAGACATCTAACCACGTGACTTTTTGACCTTTCCATCTGCTTTCCTTGCGTTGCGTGAAAATCTGAACTACAACTATTCATGTTCATCCAGTCATTTTTACATATTTTGTTTTTATTAAACGGTCACGGTATTTCTCTATTTAGGCCTGTTCGACTTTTGAAGCCAAATAATAGCACATATATTGAAAGGATCGAAAAGATCATTTTTAATTCCCGTAAGAAATCGAAAAAAAATATGTAATAAACCGAGAATAATTTTCAAAATATTGAAATTGGCCCAGATGCAGAATCTCCCACCCATACTTACAGAAACAGAGAGAGAGAGAGAAATGGGGTTTAACGACCACTCGACACAAACTAGGTCATTTGGGGACTAACAAACGGTTTAATTTTATTTCAATAATTCGCTTGCGCGTAGGGGTCTTTAGCTGTGGGACTGAGAGGAAACCGGAGGACCCTGAGAAACCCACGAGGGTGGACAGGCGATTATACTTCTTGTCACGCCAGTTGACTTAATGACAGACCTAATGATACAACGCGCACGCGCTAACCATCTGGCCTCCCAATCCCCACTTACATAAAGATACAACAATTTATATTTAGATGACACTACTATTCCAACTAAAAATGTTATAATCTCCGCTGAATGATAAATATATTAAGATTCTGTTCTTAAATCATATTTGGCTTAAATTTTATTTGAGTACAGTACAAAGGTCGTGATTGCATCTTCCTTGTTTTAGAAGAAGTAGGTTTGTCTGTATAGTCAACCTTCCGTTTTATTTTGGCTGTATTGTCAATCTTCCGTTTTCAAAATGTATTTTTAGGAACAAATTATTGTATCTACAAATGTATATAGTTTAGTTGAAAGCATTATCATGCCCCCGTAATTGACTCACTATACTCCAATATGAAGTTTGTTCCGAGGGCACAATCATATGTCTTTGTTTTTGAAAGACTATTATTTTAGATTTTATATTACAAATTCAGAACAAATTAATTAAAGACACAATAATCCACAAAGTATGTACTATTTTCATTTTATTGTTATAGTCATGCATTTATCTCAATGAGTAAAACGTTGACTCGCTAACCTGGGATCCCGTGTTTGATCCTTTCATTGGCCGAGAAAGTTCATCCGTATTTTCCGACGTTGGTCCTCCTTGTCAGTGGTGCAGGTCCGAGGGCCTGGCAAGGGACAGTGTACACATTGGCGTAGACATAAAAGATCCCCTGGCAGTTGGAATTCGATTTAAGAGTAGGCGGTAGCGCCGCTGTCTGGGCAAAATTTCCCTCATGAGACACTGTATGGTGTATGCCCATCTTCATTGGTAACCGTCTTCATTAGCGTATATGCCAGTCGGAGCAGAACAGTAGGGCGTTATACTCCATTTCATTTCATATATAGCCATGCATATACATGTAATAATATTATATAGAAACATTTCCGGATAATTATTATCACTTTATTTGTCTAAAAAGATGGCGGTGAAATCAATAGTTTTTGTTTTATAATATTTTTTAAACAAAAATTAAAAGCACTTTTGATTGTGTTTTGGTCTTGAGTCCTTTGCATGTTGATGAAATATTAGGCCTATATGTTGGTACTTTATTGTGGTGGGCAATCATTTCGTTTCTACCACATAATGCTGCAGACAAATCGAAACACAACCCTGTAATGCACCCCAATGTGGAAGCGGGCGTTAAATTGTTATTGTTAGACAACCGGCTTCACAGTTTTTTTTGGTAACTAAAACATTGACAGTGCGTTGGATATCGAATAGTTATTCCGAACAGTTGGAAAACGAAGAAATTTTATCTCATAAACACTTTTGTGTTGTTCAAACTTAACAAAAGGGGCAATTTGATTATTCAACCATGCCATTTAATGAAACAAAGAAAAAACATTTTATAGTCATCAATGTTTCATCTTGTGATCTGGGGGCTATTTTTACAGGAGCTGTGAAAAACACGTCGGTGCTTACACAAAAGGTGTGCAAGCTCTTGTCGCTTACGGATTAAAATGTCCGCAAGTGTAAAACTCGTTAAATAGAAGTGATTGAATTTATTGTTCACGCGAATTAACTCCAAAAATATCCTCGAAAACAAAAGATTTCCTTTAAAAGCATTTCGCCGTGTATCGGTATTTTGAATGAATGAATTGGCCCGGCTTGAGCATTGGTAATTAATGCCCACAAAAGAACGACTTTTAATTTGCTAATTAGCATGTATCTGATGAACTTATTATTGGAGGTAATATAGATGAAAGAGTTCTTAACGAAAATAGTATTGTTTCATTATCCTTTTATCCAAAATCTATTAAAAGAAACCCGTTATAAACAAACAATTTTTATTAATTCATGGTCGGGGCACGTTTCCCGTGATGTCACATCGCGGGAAATACGATTTCGCGCCATAAGATTGCCTGCTTTGTTAATGTTTTTGCACCCATCAAGAGGCTGAAGGCAGGAGACTATTGGTCATACGTGTCATCTAAATCCAGCCCATCCTATATCAAATCAGTCATTAATCAGCTTCGTTTCGGTGCCCATCTGTACATAAAGGATTTATTTATTTAATTATTGAACTATTTTTCATCGTCGTTTTGGATTTTGTGGAGATATTTGTTTATTTTTGAACTGATGCACTTGCGGATGTTGACCTAAAAAGTTCGGGAAAGTTTAGCTGTTTTCCAAACTTCAGAGAACTATGCCTAGAAAGCAAGCGATCGTTGCACGGAAATGTTTTCCAACTTATGTGAAACAGGAGCTGGATGAGACTCTAATTGCACCACAAGTTTTGACAGATTCTGTATTTTGTAATCAACAGACAGTGAATGTGAAAATCGAACCGACAGAAATTATCCCAAGTGTATGGGGAACAACTCAGTGTAGTTTGGGTTTGACACCTCAAGGTTCAACACAATCGCCGATTGACTGCAAGCCGATATTAGGCAGACCACAGGTATTTAGTGCATTCAGAATTCTGGGAGTGCATTTTAAAGAAAATGCATTTTCTTTTGGAGGACTTGGATGACGATCATCTGTTTTTGTGTCTCCGCCCAGTCAAACATCAAAGCGAATAAATTGTCGATTTCCTAGCATTAAGATTATGAAATCAAAAGAATGCTAATTTTTTTAATTAAAAAATATAAACGTTGATTCAGCTTGCTTCTCTAAAATTATTGTACGGGTTTAATTTTTATTGCCCACGGAAAAATTCCGCGAAACTGCACGACCGGTGCATATTGATACGTACAACTTCCTCTCTCGTTACTATTTATAGCCCGGACCTTTAATTTTTTTAAATTCATTACACATGTGCTATGTCATCAAAAATGAAATTGATTTTTTAATATCTGCTCATTTTTAATTTAAATCCATCCTTGGATTATTATTATTATTTTTTTGATAAGGTATGGACGAATAAAAATAAAATTAGGTCAAGGGACCCATTTATTGGCAACGAACCCCGTACAGCCCCCAGCCTACAGGTCACTCTTATGAGCACATGTGTCAGGTTAACTTCTTTGTTAGGTGGATTATATATTTTGCCTGAAAGACTGAAATATATAGTAATTAAAAGAAAAACAGCTTAAGATAACTGAACTAAAAAAGATAAATAAAAATGTAACATTGTATTGTAAGAAATATATTAAAGGTTCTGTCATAAATAAATTTCTTGGGTTTTTTGGGGTTGTTTTTTTATCATCCCTCAAGTCAAAATAAGATAAAAACACATTTTTAAAGTTATGACATCTTTTTGGCCAGACTTTAAGTTTTCAACACCAAAAATTTATTCGAGCAGAATCATCAATTTCAGGCCAAGAGGAAATTAGAATTGGAGCCTGACTCAATACAGCAAGAAGGTTTCAAGACACCCAAGTCATGTAAAAGAAGGGGACGTTATTCCAGTGATTCGTCAAGTCCGAGAAATAGTCGAGTTCCATGTAGTAGTTTGGACCAGTTATGGAAAAGTAAGTTTGTTGGCAGATTAATGAAATCTACCATGTCCACCACAGATTTCAAAACACAATTGTTTATATTCAAATATAAGTAAGTCATCAACAGGCGACAAAGAAGGTGGGTGTATAGTCATTTGAATGGGACAAAAATTGAGGTCTACTGCTGTCGACACATACTGGCTTGAACGTAAAACACCAATGGTTAGTTTGCATTGCACACAACCTTAGATCAGATAAATACTTTCGTAAGAAATCACCCAAACACCATGGCACATTGGTAGATCAGTTATCGTTGCCATCAAAGTCTATAGTGCCTCCCTGCCTTTTGAGTAAATAAGGTGTCCAATTACCAAAAAACAGTTTCAAGTGGTCTTTATCTGGCTAGAAAGGACCAGTTAAAGGTTTTACTCTTCTATTCAACAACAGATGCATTTTTGGATTAATTTAAGTTATTCTAGTTCTACTGGAATGTTATAGATGTCTTCACCATACACAAATACTTTAAGTGACCATTGGCAGCACATTCATTTAAAGACCCTAGGACAGTTGGAAATCAAAAGGAATTTTTACATTTATTCTGGAATTGATGAACTGACATACATGTACCGTACTTATAATAATTAGTTTAACATGAAACATGCATCTATTAAAATTTCATTGTTTATTAATGTATTATTTCAGGTTGTTCGAGGTCTCCATTAGAAAAAACTCGATATGATACTTCACTGGGTCTGTTGACAAAGAAATTTGTTGGTTTATTACGCAGTGCTACTGATGGTGTGGTGGATTTAAATAAAGCTGCTGAACTCCTAGAAGTCCAGAAACGTAGAATTTATGACATAACCAATGTGCTAGAAGGAATCAGTTTGATTCAGAAAAAATCTAAAAATAACATTCAATGGAAGTAAGTGGAAATACTTGTTTTAAGTTAAAAAGTACAACCATGCCTAACCTTGTGGGTTTCATCTGGGTCCCCCAGTTTCTTCCAACTGCTAAAGACCCTACGCTCAAGCAAATTATTGAAATAACACACAATGTTGCTGTGCCATTTCCATTCTCAGTTGTGTATGCCCAAAAAACTTCACCCTGAAAAAACTAAATTTTCCAGTTTGAACATTCATTGATTTGAAAGATATTCAACTGTCGAGATTCTACCATCCATTGGAAAACATCCAGACTACCAAAAATATATCTTTGAAGATATATCATGTGACACATTTGAACAATTGACAAACTTTAAGACAGCTGCCATTATATTACATCTGAAAGACCATGAATGAAAGTATATGTAGTAACATTTGATTGATGCACATGCATCACTCTTGGAGGCATTTGAGTATAAATTAAAATGTTAATACATTTGAATTTCAGGGGAGCAACTAATTCTATAGCAGCTAATACCTCTTTAACAACTGTGATATCTACTGATGCTGTAGACTTACATTCAGGTAATAATATCAACAGAACTGTCTTCAGCTTCTTAAAGGCCTAATGTGCTATTTGCATTTTCGCTAAAATATCAAATTTCTCACAGCTTAATACATGCTCAATATGTACTGAGATTATTTAACATTTAATTAAAGATACATTATGGGAGATTAGATAAAGACCTGGCTGTTCTCACTATAATAGTTAAAAACTAGATAATGTAAAGGGAATTTGCTGAAAATTTCAGTCAAATTGATCTACACTGAACCAAGAATTTAGCGATTAAATTTTCGGTCATTCCTCGATCATCATTACTAAAGTCGGTATGATAAAAAACATAGCCTTGATTATACATTTCATGAATGAAAGTTGAGCAGCAAATCTGATTGCAAACCATTAAATATCGCAGGCTAGCATTGACATCGAGAGTTGATTATGGTCTGAATAATTTATAATTAATAATTTAGAAAACATTTCAGGCCTAAAGAAAGACCTGCATTAGGCAGATTTAGCACTTGCGTAATATTATTATTATTATTATTATTGTTCGATTTATATAGCGCTTCATTACACGTGAAGTGTTTCTAAGCGCATATCACAAACATATACCTCAAACACACAGAAACAATCAAAATCAGGAGAACATTATTAAACACAGCTGCCTGTTAGGCGCTATTATTCAAAGGTTTATATCAACAAATCAACCGGCTAATCTCTATATTGAACTCAGTTGAGGTATTACCTGATGAACACCTACACCAAGTAGAGTTCAAAAATAAAAACGAAGTTTAAAAGAATCAACTTCATTAACAAAAATTAAACAATCAAAAACTAAACAGATAAATCAAATTCAAACGAAACAAATAAAACAAAGAATATGAAAAGAGCAGTTCATTACCATTCTACATTAACAAAATTAAGGAAATCAACTTGTGAAAATTTTTTCAAAAAAATAAGAGCAAAGTAACACTAATGTTAATACTTTTTTAACGACCCTACTGAATGAATGTTGGGCTTAACAAAACGATCATGAAATGGCCCAATATAGTAATGATGAATAACATTATAGTATACATGGCAATACAATGATGAATAACATTATACATGGCAATACACAATAACAATAAACTGGGCATAGAATACATGGTAATACAAAATAACAATAAAATGGGCAATGGTATACATGGTAATACAAAATAACAAAATGGACAAATAAGCAGCATTAAAATATAAACCAATATGCAACGACATACGCTAGGAGCATACATAACAGTATATACATGTGATAAGTATATACCAAGATGCCCTGGAAACGAATTATTAAATGTAACAAATCTTGATTTGGGTGATACATTAAACTAAATTGCTTGACATAAGTAATACTCCTGTTAACAATGCATGCGCTATTGAGCCAATGATTGACGCCGTGTGATGTGACGTCACGTGTCGAAACAGTCATCTGTTACAGAGATATTAGAAGATCTCCGTGGAACAAATTGTTATGTGTTCTGTTAAGTTTGCTTTGCAGCGTTTATCTTAATTACACCATAAAATATGTGAAATTGAACTAATTTACTTTTATTGCAGACAGACATAACTAAATATATATTTAAGAAAACAAAATACCAACGCTAGATAACATCCTGTCTTGGATTCAATAATTAATAATTTAGAAACATTTCAGGCCTAAAGAAAGACCTGCATTAGGCAGATTTAGCACTTGCATAATATATATTTAAGAAAACAAAATACCGACGCTAGATAACATCCTGTCTTGGCTTCAATAGGATTTAAACTAGGCCTATCAGGTTTCTCCGCTACCAATAAAAGATTGCGGTGCCTTGTTATGCTCAAGCAGCATAGATCGATCAATATACAATTGTCATAACTTTGTAAATACTGAACAAAATTGACAAATCAAATCGGAATGCCGGTAATATAAAAACTCTTCCAGATCCTAGTGTAGTGAAGACAAGTAAAATGAAATTTTGAACTATGAAAATCGAAACAAAATAGAATCTGTGTTTTAATCATATTGTATTGGCCAACAACTATCAAGGAAAATAAACTGAGCATGATTTAAGGTGACCCAAAGTTAGAAGTGCACAAATAGAAAATTATTTCCTACCTGATTTTCTACATGTCAAATATTATTACGTCACATGTACATGTAGCAATGAATTGTGTACTCGATGAAGAGTTCACTTCTCTCAAGTTGATGTGAAATGTACAAACTTCAAAAAAGAAAATATACTTGAACACCATAGCTGAAACCTGTTCACGGTGTGTTTGATAATATTGCATGTCTGGACTAACAAAATGGACAGAGATCAATTCTTTGTCTGTTAACACATTGATGTTAAATTTACCTTATATTTTAGTCACAAAAGAATTTTTTTGACAAAATGCTGATAAATATTTCTATATTTTAGATATAGCTGATCTGGATGCAAAAGAGAATCGGCTAGATGAAGCCATTAAGAATTGTACAAGACAATTAAAACTCTTGACGGAAGATCGTGATAATGCGAAACAGGCATATGTAACGTATCAAGATATAAGAAGTTTAAAATCTCTTGATGAACGAACTGTTATTGCTATTAAAGCGCCACCTGAAACTAGACTTGAAGTACCTGATCCCTCTAAGGTTAGTATCGACAAAATCATTTTTCGTGAGATCTTTTAAACTTGAATTGATCATGATATGTATTTTTAGGCTGATTGGAGAACCATTGTTTTGGGCAGAGCTTACCTTATTGTGTTTAGCTTGACGAGTAGGAATTTCCTATCTCCTAAACCTGACAGTAAAAGGCTTGCCCAATATTATCTTATCAGAATGACCTACTTGCTCTGAACTGATTATATTTGATCTGCACCTGGAAATGAACAGATTACAAAATGAATGCATCCAGTTCCTGTTTCAAAACATTTTTGTTCTATTTTCCGATTTCAAAAATTGTTGTTTGTTCCTGTTTCAAAAATTGCTGTTTAAACAAATCGCAGAGCTTAAGAATTATCATAGGGAACTGTTGCTAATGCCAAGATAGTGGTGTTCAACAATTTCTAACAAGGACATCTTATTTCAGATTTGGTTAAAAAGTCAGAAAGGACCTATTGATGTTTTCTTGTGTCCGGAAGATATGCCAGAAACTGATGTGTCATCGAGTGAGAAGAACAGTGATTTTGCTCCTAGTACCGACCCTAGTTGTACGTCTCGGACTCTAGAAGAATCTTTCTCAGAAGATTCTGTTTCTTCTGATGGCTATAAAGGTAAAAAAATATATCTGGCAACTACCCCCTCAGAATTATGAGTTAATTATTGAAATATCTCCCTTATCCTTGGTACAGTACAGAGGACCTGGCAAGGAACAACGTATGGTTGTTCAGATGGGACGAAAACCACAAGGCCCTGTGTACACATTGGCTTGCATGTACAAGAACGGTTGAAATTGGGTAAAAGAGTAGGCAATAGTTTCGCTGTTCAGGCAAAATTTCCTCTTGGTAGTACACTGTATGATGGTGCAGAACTTAAAAACCCATTTCAATTATTATTCAAATAGAGTTAGTCCCAAAATAATCAAGTTTAAGAATTGTAAAAATTGTGTTTTTCAGCATCTCGAGGTATTAAGAATGCTTTATTAGAAGATGAAGACATTTCACCAGAGAATAACTTCAATCTCTTACAACAGACGGAAGATCAAATCATAGACACGCCCTTCGTTCAGTTGGAACCACCAATAGATCTAGAAGATTATATCTTCGGACTCGATGGCGAGGGAATATCTGACTTATTTGATGTATACGATATTCCAACTAATATTTAAGCGAATGCATGTTCTGTAGAGTGTGGGTGTTTGACCATTTGTTATTTATATATATATATATCTATATTATATATACGCGTTATTCTTGTAAATTATAGCCGGGTCACTTCTGGTTTCATTTTGCTTTACGTAATTTTAATTGGATACTTTAAGGTACCATCATATTATTTGGATGATTCTCCTCCAGATGAAGCGAGTTGGGTGGCCGAATGGTTTAGCGCGTACACTTTCGATCATAAGGTCCTCTGGATTCCTCTATCGGATAAAGACCCCTATGTGAAGTTGAATTATTAAATAAATTTGAACCATATGTTAGTCCCATATTGTTGAGTGGAGTGGACTTAAACACTATGTCTCTCTCGCTCTCCTCCAGACAATTTCAAGTTTCTTGATTAGGATAAAGTCTGCGTCCCACCCAACTCTATGGCTATATTTTTTTTTTAAACCTGATATGTACATCTTAAAAGATTTTTTAACTAATTCCATTCATTGCGTATTGCAAATTAAACCGGCACGCGATTCTGAACTACAATATTTTTTTTTTTATTATAATATACAAGGCATCTTTTGTTGATGTTTTCCTGTAAATCATGGTAACATATTCTACCCATGGATAAAGTCCTGGGTGAACATGTCCACGAGTCTCATTTTAGACCTTCATTCATTGGACAACATTGCGACGTTCAAAGTATGAAGGGTCTTGAAATAAAATTAGAATTACTCGATCGTGCATTTATTGAAAGATAACTGGTTGAAAAATAAGCTGGTTTCAAAATCAAATAGTGCTAAAAATATTAAAGGATCACCTTGTATATAGTGTCATCTGTGGTCCCTCTCATGTTATTGAGGAAATTGCCTTGTTAGTCTTTATGTTCCTTATTGCTAATAATTTTTACAGGATTTGATATATTTATTATGAGAAATACACATCGTCATCAATGTTTAATATCAATTATAACAATAACTGAAGTCACTGGCAAGGCTTGCCAAGAGACGCTAATGATAAGTCCGCTTTCACACTGAAAAACAGCTTGCTATCGCTCTTTTGCAATCTGCCTTGAATAGACAATATTTCTTTATCTGTTGTATATTTTCTGAATTATATTTAATTTAAGAGACTTTGTAAAGCGAAACCTAAAAATTAAATTTGATTTCATAGCATGAATGAATATGTAAATATTATTTATCTCATGGGTAAGAATTGATATTCAGTAATTGATTCTAGAAATCCTGTTATACCTACTGCTAAAAATTTATATATGTATGCAAATAAATGGAATATTTAGAAGGTTGAAAGAAAATAGAATTGAGTTTTTAAATTACAATGTTGATTTATATTTTACTTGAATACATGTAATTTATAATTTTGGAACACTAAAGATCTGAAATTTACGATTTGTGTAGATAATTTTGAAAGTATCAAACTAGACTTATTTACATTTGATATAAATCCAAAATAGCTATTGTTAAAATTCAGATGAAACTTTGTTTATTTATGTAATAGAAACTTAAAATAATTCTCATGGATTTTGTTAATATTTGATAGCCAGAATTATAACTGCATGAAATTAATTGGTATCTCTGGTGTTCTAATCCAGTGTCACTTGTTCAGTAAATGATAATGGTAGAGATTTCTTTCATCCAGTTCAGATATATGTTGAAGTAGCTTAGATATTTTGATTCTACAATATCAGATTTTAAAAACTAGAGTTATAGGGTTGCAGAAGTTCATAAACATGTAATGTATATATACTCAAATAGTAAGTCCAAAAGGACTACACTAGAAAGAACAGACATTAACAATAATTAGTCATAAAATGTGTTCATTAAAACCAAAGTCAAAAATGCCTCAAATTAAAATTATTTTCTTATAATAAAAAATCATATTTATACTCAGATGATAATTTTAATAGATTAATTATTTTGAAGAGAATTTATTTATACAATACTAACAAAAGTGCCTTGTGAGAAAATGTCTCATTATTTAGTATTAGAAAATTACATTGATTATGTAGCTTACATATTGTTAATTATCTGATAGGATTGTTAAATGTAATACCGACTTGTCCACTGCCATGATTTAGATACTGTTAATTGCAATACTCATTCACTTCCATGATTTAGAAACTGTTAATTGCAATACACTCATTCACTTCCATGATTTAGAAACTGTTAATTGCCATACACTCCCATGGTTTATATACTGTTAATTGCAATACACTCTTTCACTCCAATGGTTTAGATAATGTTAATTGCAATAGACTTGTTCACTTTATGGTTTAGATACTGTTATTTGCAACACACTCTTTCACTGCCCTGATTTAGAAACTTGATAATTGCGATACAGACTCATTCAGTCCTGATTTAAAAACTATTTATTGTGATACAGACTCATTCCCTGCCATGATTTAGAAACTGTTTATTAATTGCAATATAGACTTGTTCACTGTCATGATTTAGAAACTATAATATTTATAATACAATAATTAATTGCAATATAAACTTATTCACTATCATGATTTGAAACTGTTAATTGCAATAGAGACTTGTTCACTGCCATCATTTATTAACTGTTAATTGCTATACAGACTCGTTCACTGCCATGATTTAGAAACTCTTAATTAACTGCAATATAGACTTGTTCACTGCCATGATTTAGAAACTGTTAATTGCAATACAGACTCGTTCACTGCCATGATTTAGAAACTGTTAATTGCAATACAGACTCGTTCACTGCCATGATTTTTAGAAACTGTTGATTGCAATATTGACGTGTTCACTGCCATGATTTAGAAACTGTTAATTAATTGTGATATAGACTTGTTCAATGCCATGATTTAGAAACTATAATATTTATAATACAGACTTGTTCACTTATTCTGCCACATAATTCTCAAAAAGTTAAATAGATGACTATTGTCCCTTAGAAACTGTATTGAATCAAAATGTATAATTATCTATTAGAAAGCCATCTATATTTTTTTTACACAGTCCTTAATCTTGCTACATGTATTATATTTTTTAATGCCTGAAAAATTTACTCCCCTTAAATTTTGTGTGAATAATGAAATATTTTCATTTGTGTACCTAATAAAATTAACATAATGTTAAAATATTGTAAATGTAATAATATATTATGTAGAGTAATACACATATATTCCAATTACATCAAGTTTCATCCAAACCTAATACGACTTCATTTAACTTCAAATTTCTATGTGAGATTTCATCTTTTGGAGCATTGTCAACAAAAGGCATATTCTGGTTCTCGATAATCTGTTGGTTGCGTACCTGAGAACCAGAATATTTCTCTCACAGCCATAGTTATTGCCTCAAAAAATCTTGATGAGACCATATTTTTGTTCATCAAAGATTTCATGTTTATCATAAGAATGCATTTATTTTTGTATGTTTTCTTTTATTATTAAAACTTTTTTCAAACATCTAAAAGGGGGCCAAATATCATTTTGTTGATAACTGTCATTGTGAATACCATACTGCCTAATCATTATTTGTTATTTTATTTTTTTCCATTTTGATAGAATAGTTATTTTATTATTGAATTAAATATTGAAAATAATTAAATTTATGTAATTTTGAAGATTAACATGTGAATATTATTGTTAGTTACATCGTATACCACATCTATTTAGTTTTTTCACATTTATTCCTTACTCACAAGTCAGAAAGTGGAGTTTTAGAAAAATCAAATTCCCTACAGTTGTCAACGCTCACTTGATACTGTAGCCAATATTGTGACACGGTCAAGTAGACCCGTTATCAAAATCATTCATTAGATGCTTCCAGTGATTATTGATGGTCATGAACACTACATGGTCCTTGTCTGACGGAAAGTTGCCAAAACCTTGTATGTAGGACTGCATTTTATCAACCAATATTTCATAATTATTTAAATGGCAACAGACTATTGGCCATTCTGATCGAAACAAATTATGGTTATTTTGATTTTGAGAGAAGATTCCCTTTACTTGATTTTGAATTGATCTGTCGTAGAATGGTTATAAACATACTTTAAACAATGTTTTTCATATTAATATTTCAATTAAACACTGCCATAAATTTGCTGAATAGTATATTACCAATATGCTAGATTTAAGATTTCTCGCTGAATGATGGAAAACCTTAAGATAAATTCCCCAACCCTTGCCCAATACCTTTCCTTAGTCTACTTTTCAGTTAGATCATAAATATTTGCAAATCCGATTTAGAAATTATCTGTTTTGTTACAGACACTGCATCAGACTAATATACAGTCTATTGAAATTGTTATATATCTAAATATATATATATATATATATTCTATTTGAATTTAATGTTCATTTTGTTTTTGTCTCTGAATAAACCTTGATAAATGTTATTAATAATTACACTACTGAAAATCCAATAAAAAGAACAAGACCTCAAATTATGTATCTTAACTTTATTTGATATTTATGTAAACATGGTTTTTGGTCACAACTTGCATTTGTGATATTTACCAATTCGGAATAACTGACTTTGGCATAACTGGCTTTTTCAAAACCTGACTTCTGCAATAATAATTACAGATTGTGTTTGTGAACACCAAGAGCAATGCCAAAAACTTGAACACCGCCCCCCCTTCCCTCGGGATTGCTGGAATCCTCCATAAAATTTGTTAGAAAAATGTTGATGGTCATAATCCATTGTTATCCCCAGCCAGTCATTAATATTTCTATTCACAGAACAATGTGGATTGTTTAACAGAAAGGGTTAATATTTCATAGTACTATGTATTATGAACCCTTAATAATTAAATATATGCTCTGCAATAATAATTGAAGGCAGCTTTTCTAAAATAAAAAAAAAATGGCATTTTCATAATTACAATGTATGTAAATATTAACTGACATTCACAGAATATTTAAAACTTTTGTTCAGTTAAAGTAGAATTCTTAGTTTGAAGACCAGATAAAAATTGGTGGTCACAACAGCGCATGTTACTAAACTTATCTGGTTTCCATTCATAACTTTTTTATCTGGGCTAAAGAGATAACATCAATAGTTTAACAGCCTTTTCTTTAAACAAAAAAAAATGTAGATTTGTTAAATTATTTTGTATGATTTAAAGGAGCTAAACCTCTTTGATTTAGGTCAAAATAAAGTTCTGACCTAATTATAGTAATAACTCATGTTAATCTATACAAGATTGCCATGGTGTTGAAAATCACTCGTTTTATAATTTGCTTTGATGGATGGAGGTTGGAAAAATCATAAAATACGATTTTGACTTATATTCCACATCACATAACAATTTATCCCCAGTAAAATATGATTGGGTTGACCTGGTGTGTTATTTCAAATAGGGATGAAGCAATCTAAATAGTATATCTGATAAAACTCTTCTTTGAAATATTAAGCAAAAGCCAGTTACTTTCATAAGTTTTGTTTCACTTTTTGCTGAATGTACATGTAGACAAAAATCCACTGGTTAAGAATTTAATTAAATTGACACTTGTATTTGTTTACCCAAATCAAAGAGGTCCAGGCAATTTAAATATAAAATACAAAAATAGATGCTTTGTAAATAAAGAGTGTGTCCATTATTTTAATTTGAATATTTATGTGGTAGGTTAGATTAAAAGCATGTAATTTATTTATACTTTAATTATTTTTTTTCTGAAAACCTTTCATATTTAAAAATATATATTCCATATTTAGCTGTATGGAAGAAAATGAAATAAGTACAAGACCATTTAAAATATTGTGTGTATTGAGAAGCAATATTGTTATTTATTAGAGCAACACCATTTAATCTTTGCCTGGAGATAAAGCATACTATATTCACTGTAAAAACATTGATTCTCACAAACCTAGACATCAATTGCAGTGTTTGAAAACTTTTAAATTAGTATACTACCAAATTTATAGAGCAACAACAACAATGGGTATTATTTAAAGCTCCAATAGAAAAATCCATAAACATTCCCTTATTTCAAATTGAAATAATGTCTCATTTTTATTCATAAGATTTGAAATTCAAAATGTAATTGGGAAAAAACTCCACGATTTGTGCCTGCAAAATTCAGAATTTTGATCATATACATACAATAACTCTTGACTTAACAGTCCCTATTGAATCAGTTTTTGGACAATTATGTGTGTATAGAATGTATTGTTGATATATTAATGAACCAGCTTTGTTTTTGTGTACATTATATTGTAATATTCATTAATATTTTTGAAAAGAAATTATGAAATATTTTTCATTTTGTCAGAAATATCATCAGAATTAAATAATAAAACATACTTCAACGTAAATATTAATTATGATAGTTTCAAAAGTTATAAAAGTCATCAATATTTCAGTGTAACTCTGGGTATGTAAAATAAGAGATTAAATTGTGCAGGGTAGGCTGATATCCGCATTATTTTATTACTAAAATTTACCTGTGTTTTATACAAACTGTTAACTGTTACTAGTTTTTCATTATGAATATTGTTGACATCAGAAAGGGTTATTTATATTTGAAATGAATATTGTTGACATCAAAAAGGGTTATTTATATACTATTCAAAAAAAGTAGGGGATATTTGATTTTTAAGTGTTATTAAAGTCACCTAATGAAACTGACGAAGAAACAAATGACAAAATGAAATGAAGTTCACATTCATCGATTTATTCCAAATAATCGTTAGACTAAGTAAGGCACAGACTGACCATTATAAGGGTAAAATGATACCCGGGGTCAAACAGCAAAGTTACCACAGCATCACAACCAAGTCAGTAACGGGTAAATCCTCCTGTTTGCCAAACAAGCATTGGTCCGACGTGGCATACTCCTAATGAGACGTCTAAGGTCATTTTGGTCCAGATTGTCCCATTCCTGTTGCAACGCAGCAGCAAGTTCTTGGACATTGGCAGGACGTTGTTGACGTTGACGTAACCTGTCCAAGCATGTCCCAGACATGCTCGATGGGGGAGAGGTCGGGACTCAGTGCTGGCCAAGGTAATGTGGTGATGTTCTGTTGTTGGAGGTAACCTGTAACGATCCTGGCCCAGTGACATCTTGCGTTGTCATCCTGGAAGATGAAACGGCGGCCATGACGTCGTGCAAACGGCACAACATGGACTGCCAAGATGTTGTCCCGGTAGTACTGGCCTGTAACACGCCCTGCAACAACATGTAAAGCCGTTCTTCCAGCAACAGTGATGCCTCCCCACACCATAACAGAACCACCCCCAAATCGATCATGTCTGATGACGTTAACGTCTTGGAAGCGCTCGTTTCGACGACGCCACACCCTCCTACGTCTGTCCAAAAAATCAACAGTGAACCTTGACTCATCTGAAAACATCACATTGCTCCAGCGTCGATTATCCCAGTGTTGACGATCCCTACACCAACGACGTCTTGCCTGAATGTGATGATCTCTCAAAGAAGGGATCACGCGAGGACGTCGGGCGCGAAGGTGACCCCTATGCAGTCAATTCCGAATCGTCTGGCCACTCACTCTCACACCAGTGTCTGTTTGAAGACGAGCGCTGATCTGATTTGCTGTGATGACACGATTTCTCAAGGCCAAGGTACGAATAAATCGATCCTGGGCTTGAGGTGTCGCCCTTGGTCGACCTGAGCGTGGTCTGTCCTGTACAGATTGTGTATCACGGTATCTGGACCATAGCCTGCTTATGACAGACTGAGAAACATTCATCGTCCGCGCCACAACCGCCTGTGTTGTGCCGATCTGTAGCATGCCAAGGGCACGTAACCTTCATTTTGGGTAAGCCGACGCATATCAAAATTTGTTTTCTGGTCACTAAAACAATTAAACTGATGTTTCCACCCTGGAATTCAATGCCACAATGACTGTAACATTCAACGTCAGAGTCGTGCAAATCTTGGGTTGGACCCCCATGATGATCACAAGCATCACCTGCATTCCATGCGGTAGCTATTGGTGCGTTTGGGCGTCACATGTAACTGGAAATGTTTCTTCTGTTAGGTTCTATAGTGACTTTTTTCGTAGTCATTTGCATATTTTAGTATTATGCCCCCAAAATCAAATATCCCCTACTTTTTTTGAATAGTATATTTGAAATGAATATTTTGTTAAAAGAATCAATTACATCATACCACCTGTTTTTGTGGTAATATTTGTACTTATTAATACAACAAATAAAATTCTCAAATAGAATATAGTTTAAAAGTTGTTATATGGGGATTGAACTAGAAAAGGATGCATGAATATTCCACTCCATTTAGTCTACAAATTTTTCAAGTGCCACCACTTTTGTGCTAGGAAGTCCATGAATACAATTTAAACAAACAGTTCCTGGTCCAAAAATGTCGATTTTCATTAAAATACACTTGTCAGTCATTTATAAGCTACATAAGGAGTAGGGTTGACTGTCTAAAGTCTAACCTCAAGAATTTTCTTCAGTTTGACACTAGTTTAAATAAACTGCTAAAGATCCATACATGCAGGGGTGGGGCGAATGGTCTCAGACATGCCCTTTAGATCATAAGGTCTGTCATTGAGTCATTTTGCATGTTCAACCTCGTGTTTTATTTTTATACGCCCACATTTTCATGTGGACGTATATTGTCTCGTCGCCCCTGTCCGTCCGGATGTCCATCCGTCCACAATTTGTTTGTGGACACTCTACAGGTCACAATTCTTATCCGATTTTGCCGAAACTTGAAATATAGGTTTATCTCCAAAAGATCTCTGTTGCTTTCGATATTGGCATGTATCGGATCGAAACTTCATGGATTATGGCCACTGTTTGTCCGAAAAATCACGTTTTTAGCTTGTGGACACAATTTTAATCCAATTTTGATGAAACTTGAAATGTAAGTTTATAACCAAAAGAACTTGGTTCCTTTCGATATTCGCGCATATCGGACCGTAACTTCCTGAATTATGGCCCCTGATTGTACGAAAAATCACGTTTTTAGCTTGTGGACCCTATAGAGGTCATAATTTTGATCCGATTTGAAAAACCGTATTATTATATCACCGTTACACCCTAAGGACGGCCCAGTTCGAATTTCGTGAAAATCAGCTCAAAACTGACAGACAAATGTGTGCCCTTCGTTCTCAAATAGCGTAAAAATATGGTATATCAAGGTTGTGGACCCTATAGAGGTCACAATTTTTATCCGATTTTGTTGAAACTTGAAATGTAAGTTTACAACCCAAAGATCTCGACTCCTTTAGATATTCGTGCATATCGGACCGTAACGTCCTGAATTATGGCCCCTGATTGTACGAAAAATCGCGTTTTAAATCTGATTTAAAAACAATGTGTGAATAATCGCGGATACCCGAACTTAACTTCCTGGATTATGGCCCCTGATTGTTCAAAAAATGGCATTTTTAGCTTGCGGATTCTCTAGAGATCACAATTTTTTTTTCGATTTTAAAAACCGTTTAAATATTTCACCATTCCACCATAATGAAGGTTGAATTTGAATTTCGGGAAAATCGAAATGAAACTGCCCAACAAAATGGCCGCTCTCTTTGTACGCAAATTGTGTAAAACTATGCAATACGAAGGTTGTCGACCCTCTAGAGGTCACAATTTTTATCCGATTCTGAGGAAACTTAAAACATATCTTTGTATCCCAAAGATCTCGGTCCCTTTTGATATTTGCGCATTTCAGACCATAACTTTCTGGATTATTGCCCCTGATTGTACAAAAAATCACGTTTGTTTTAAGCTTGTTCTCTATCCATCTCTTGCAAAATGTGGGCGTATCCTGCCTGGCAGTCGCTGGTTAGGTTTCTGCTGAAGACCCCTACACACAACTGAATAATGAAAATAAAATTGACTTAGCTTGTGTCTGTGGACAAAACCCCATCTTTTTCTATTTCTCTCTGAAATTAGCTTGTGTCGGCAGACATTAAAACCCATCTTTTTCTATTTCTCTCCGAAATAAGAAAGATACTATAGCAGTCCCAAAATAAATTATTTTGTATATCAACAAATAATAAAGAATGTAGCTAACTGTAGATGCACCCATGTTAACGCCTAATATACTCTTAAAAAAAAGTAGGGGATATTAAAATGCAAATACCTATGATAAAGTGTCATGGACACTTGACATGCTTTTTAGAGTATGTTCACAGATGAAGAACTTATCGCCCCAACAGAACCACTGAGCTGTGCATGCGACACGCAATAGCACCATACACAGTGGGAAGGGTTCATTGTCAAATTTGACACTTCAAGGAAGGGTTGATGAAAACTGCCACATGCTGGTTTATTCTATCCATATTTGCTTTCCTATCGGTTCTTGCATAGGATTTACTGTTTAGCGTATCTTTGCTTTAGTGTGTTATGTTTAATTTGCAATGAGACGTCTTCAACATGATGAACGTCTACATACCATTGGCATGCTTCAAATGGGTTCTACACAGCGAGCAGTAGCCAATTGCAACATGCTTAATGTGTCACAGTCTGTGATCAGCAGACTGTGGAACCGGTACCAACAAACACACAATGTTGATGATAGACCTCATTCAGGTCGTCCTAGAGCCACTACACGAGCCCAGGATCCATACATTCGTACACAGGTCCTGCGAAATTGAGGACAAACGGTCAATCAGCTTTCTGTAAACTTGTACCAGAAATTTGAGTTACACCCCAAACGATTAGAAATCGGCTACATGCAGCCCATTTACATGTGCGACTACCGCATGTTGTGTCTTCATTAACTTGCCAGCAGATGGCAAACAGGCATCAATAGTGTATAAATTGGGGTAATCGTCGATGGGTGCGTGTAATGTTCTCAGATGAGTCCAGAATCCAGATTTACTCTGGATTTCACCAATAGGCATGCTCGTGTTTGGAGGCGTGTAAATGAGCGTCATGCTAACGTTAATGTCAGACAGCATCAGATTCGGGCGTGGGTCTGTTATGGTGTGGGGAGGAATCACCATGAGTTGCACATTGTTCAAGGAAGGGTCACTGGTGTGTACTACCGTGACCACATCCTGGCACCGATAGTTCTGCCCTTTGCTCAACGTGTAGGTCGACATTTCATCTTTAAGAATAAGATGATAATGCAGTGCCCATCGCGCTCGTGTTGTGAATGACTACCTCCAGCGTCACCATATTGTCCATATGCCTTGGACAGCCATGAGTTCTGACCTTTCCCCTATAGAGTATGTCTGGGACATGATCGGGAGACGTGTTCGTCGACGTCAACGTCAACTGACAACACTGCAAGAATTGGCCGTGGCACTGCAAGAGGAGTGGGTCAGACTGCCCCAAATCATGATTGGACGGTTGATTAGGAACATGCCACGACGAATTGCTGAATGTCTGAGGATTGGTTGAGCAATTACTCATTATTAAGACAAAAATCAAAAACGTTCATTTTCACTTTTGACAGTGTTTCTCTTTGCGATTGAAATGGGTCTGTCAGATAAGACGCCAATATGAACTGTTTATGTTCATGTGTAGGCAATTGGCCTGTTATTAACATACACTGGTTACCTCTAATAAAAACAGCAGTGCATTTCCGCAGTTTTGTATTGTTTCTAAATATCCCCTACTTTATTTGAAGAGTGTATATCTCCTTTAAATCAAATTTTATTAAAGACACATGTAACTGATTACATTTTTTAGTCATAGATTAAATATAAATTCTTATACATAAAAAAAAGTATACATCTGCGAAAATTTTTAATATTATTTTGAACCATAGCAAAAAAAAAGAACATAGAAGATAATTATTATTTTTAACAAAATACTGGTAGTAATTTGTTACCTATAAATTTGTATATATGTATATTTCATTGATTTCGATTTTAAAGCCCCAACATTCCAGAATAAAGGTTCAACATGCCAGAATAAAGATTAAATATAGCGTTTAAGACAATATACTAAAATATTTTCCTTATAAAAACAATGTTATTGTGCCTTGAAATAAATGGATTTTAAGATTAATCCAACATTTAACTCAAGATGAAAGTGTACAAAATAAAGAAAATTAAAAAGGTCGAAAATCAGAAAATAAGAAGACAAAACAATAACATTTATATAGCCAACAGAAATATACTGTAAAAGTAGAAATTAACACTATCAAACAATTAATGCTTTAAATTGACCTATTGAGGCCTTTATTTATACAAGCATCTCTGGTCTGTAACTAAGGAAATTATGAAGTATGTTACCCCTTAAGTCACTGGTAATGTTAAAGATGATCCTCCTCAAACCAATAAATTAATCAACAGAGATTAACTACATAGTATAAAAATTTATTCTGACCACCTTAAGCTTAAATAATTTCACGATACTTAAATAAATTACTTGATTTCCAGTATTTCATTCATTAATGCATATAGATTCATATTATGCCATATTTAACATATTATACCAAATTGTATGATTGAGTTTGTAACGGATAAGGATCTTAATACTGTTTAATTTACCAGTCAAGACTGACCGGCAATAAAATTGACTGGCTGACAAATTCACCTGTTAATTTCCATACCAGAATATAGAGTATTTTTGAAAAATTATACATTACATGTAATAAAACATGATAAATACTAGGGTCTACTTAGTTTGTAGAGCTTGGTGACGAAAAAAGCAAAAATTCCAGTTGGCAAAATATCAAAGTGATAGCCATTGGTAGATAATTATGTAAATTAAAGAAGCCCTGCCCCTTTTTGTATAATGATTAGAATGTGAATATAATAAATCCTATTTAAAATTGTTTAATAATACTAGTAATCAATTAACAAAATAAACTTGTCACAGTAAGCCATTAAAAAAACAGTTATTGTTTCAAAATGACCTTTTGACTCTGCTGTGCTGATATATTTTGCTAAAATCGAATTTCAAAGAAGAATTCATTATGAACTCTTAAGCTAGCATCCATATAGTTTTTTAGTGTTGAAGACAACATGACTCCTTTATCAATAAACGTAAATACTCTTTGGGGAACATGACAAAATAATCCCATCATCAAGTCTGGCTAAACTTCACTCTACACAACAATTTTAGTTACATCAGCAGATCATTTCAATTTCAAATCGTGACTTACTTTATTTGTTTTACTTGTAGCACGGCATGTGACCAAATTGTATTCTTTTTCGACATTATTTCAAACTTTACATGTACATGTACTTATAAGTGTTTTTAATTATTGAATATATCCAGCTGTCTCTCTTCATTTCTACTGTACAGCCATTTGTTCTAAAGTGGAAGCTTTGCCTGATGAGAGCAGTCTCAAACACTAAACAACTATAACTATGGAAACTAGGCTATAATAAAACATTATTTATAGAAACTAATAAATTCTACATATATCATTTATTTTTTTTATAAAAAGTATTTTACAGTAGAAAACTATCTCCCCTGTTTAAATAAGATGGAATCTAAACTTTATTGAAGACAGCCATGGTCATGAAGTCTTCATAATTTAGTTGAATTCTTCCCTGCATCTGTGGATCCCGTTGTTTAAACGCATCCGTTAATCCTTTCAGCATGACACATGACTGGATAAATGTGTCTAGTGTTAAGGCTTGTCGACCTTGTACATCAAACTTGTAGGTCACCATTTGAGCAAATTGTGGTGATAAATTATAACCCATACTGCTATATGCTGAAACAGTTCAAGATAATAAAATAATCATTTACATAGGCCAAAGAGTAAGTCGTCTCGGGGATAAGATTTTCTTCTGAAATCTCGTAAAATTGAATGATGTGATGATCAAAGAAGTCACGTAGATTAAACAGATTTACCCTGTTCCCTTGAACCAGAGCAGATTATAGAATCTATAGATGGGCCACTGACATTCGAGACAGAGAAGGTAAATAAATAGAATGAAATCATATGCAGTCAAGATGATCATCTGGAAATATCAAGTTGATCATCTGGAAATATCATATTATGTAATCAAGTTGATCAACTTGAAATATCATTTGTCTTCAAGTTGATCCTTTCAAAATATCACAGGTAGTCAAAGTGATCATCTCAAAATATCATATGAATTCAAGTTGATCATCTCGAAATATCAATTGTACCGGTAGTCAAATTGACAATCTGATTAAAATACAGATCTATATTTTGTTTTGTTTTTTATACTTTTGATGGCTTACACTACATGAAGATCTGACCAGTTGTTTTGGGAGGTCGCCTCAGAAGTCATACTTGCGGCTTTTGACCCTATGACATCAGATATTTGATTAACCAATCAGCATTGACGTTTCTAGTGGATTACCCAGTTCCTGGGCACCTCATGCCAAAAGCTTGTCGTAACAGATTGTTTGATTGGCTAATCCCTCACATCGTCCAGAACACGTCAATGATAACAACTCTTCCAGATCCTAGTCTAGTAAAGACAAGTTAAACCAAATTTTGAACTATAAAAAAACGAAACGAAATCTGATCTGTGTTTTAATATGTTTGTCAAATTGATTGCCTCACAATAGCACATGTAATGTAGACAATATCGCAAACAACCAATTCAGCTGACATTACATGCTCAAATTCTATTTAAGATGTGAGAGACTATTACTACAGCCACAAGGTGGTCATCTATCACAACATATCCAATTATCTTACATTTCGAAAAGCCACACCCCCATTTTTTTTCATACAGAAGTGTGTTAAGAATTTCACTCCTGTGTCAAGAATGGTTCTGGCACTGACAGGGTACATTGGTGTCGGTTAAGGTACATAAGCACATACGTTCCTTAACCATAATATTATCCATGTGAACTATAGGTAGCTAAATTTATCTTTTCATCAAATGTGTTGTAAATGGTTCTAGCACTGAAAGTGTACACGGGACTGGTAATGTAATCTCTATTGGGGGGGGGGGGGATGCATTGTAAATATGGTTATTGTATCTACATACCATTTCTAAGTTCATTAAAGTCGATAAAACCAGATCGGTTCTGATCAAATCTTTCGAATACACCCTTCCACTCCTGTATATATCTATATAAGGACTGGAATTCATACATATCAATAGTTCCACTCATATCTTTATCAAACATACCTACAATATAACACAATGTAATTATAAACAGAGCAGGATAACTTCATAACAAAATACAGATCAAACAAATAATACATAAAAAAGCGTATGGACTGTACAATTTGACCGTGATTCCCAGACAAGATTTAAAATAAAAAGGCCCCTTTGATCTTTTTTTTTTTATGGGATAACAAGTCAGCCTCGTTGCAAAATACATTTCGTTAAAATATATCTCAAAATTATATAATTCATAAATTTAAAGAGAACTGAAACATAATGGTTTACTGATCAGACAGTGGTGTGATTAAAATAGACAACTATACATAAAGGGGGATAACTCCATATAAGTTAAGAAAAGTTTACATGCAGTGATAGGGTTCAAGATATAGTAAATTAATTTATTAATTTGTTATTCAATGATCTCCAATATTAATGAATGCAAATCCCTAATGATTGGTCAATTCCAAATGGTGTTTTGAATTTCAGTCCAATAAAACCATCTAAAAATGTCACAGACACTATAGATCCATATAGACACATATTGAGGCCATACAAAAATAAAAAAAAAATATTCTGGTTCTCATACTCCCCAGTCACTTAAAAAGGGGCGCATGACTTGTTACAGGAGAGAGAGAGAGAAATGGGGTTTAACGTCCACTCGACACAAACTAGGTCATTTCAGGACTAACATATGGTTTAATTTTATTTCAATAATTTGCTTGCGCGTAGGGGTCTTTAGCAGTAGGAGGAAACTGGAGGACCCGGAGAAAACCCACGAGGCTGGACAAGCGACCCTACTCCTTGTCACGTACAACCAGGGATTCGAAACCACGCCAGTTGACTCAATGACAGGTCTTATAATACAGCACGCACTTGCTAACCATTCTGCCATCCAACCCCCTCTTGTTACAGGAAGCAAAAATTTGAAGTGTATGCAACCTTGATTAATGGTACTGACAATCATGGATGACACTAGATAATCATAAACAAAGTTAAATAAATGTCCTGCCTTGAAATATGATGTGATAATTAATTTAGCCCAGTAGTGATCCTTTGACATAAAAACAGAAAAATAGAAACTTCCCTCAGATTTTTTGGAAGGATTGTCTGAGAACCAGAATATTTTTTATTGTATGATCTAATCAAGGTATAATTTCTTTTAGATGGTTTCAACTATGAATTCTATAATGCTGAAAAAAGGCAAACTGATAATAATGTATTCCCTGTTTCTGTTGCCTTTTTTTCTTTGTCTCTCCCAAATGACTATTGTCAGCCACGTACCATTGGCAACCACCAACCGCTACAGCCTCCCTAAATCAAAAAGAAGACATCCATACATTTGTTTTATTTATATTTGGTTTGTAAACCCTAAAAAAGACCCACCAGATTTCAAAGTATTGGTACAATTTTCTCGATACTAACCAACCATAAGGCGACAGGTTTCTGCATTAAATTTTGTCCAGTTATTATTCGTGAGTGCCTGTTGTAATTCTGTAGCTGTTATTTTTCCTGATCTATCTGTATCTACAGCTTGAAACCATCCCACAATCTGTGGATCCATTTGAGGTTGTCCATATCCTAAAAAATAACATATAGCATAAGCTCATGCTAGCCTAAAGCTAAAGGATGGTTCACTCCAATGTATGAAATGGAGCACTGTGCAATAGAACAGTGAAGCATTTGTCAAGAAATTGGGGAATGTAAATAAGATCCCCATTCTTTTTTTCAAATCATCCAGGGCTTGGCACTTTATAAAGGACATTATATACAACCCATTGATTGACCATTATATAACGTCGCTACAGGTAATTCATACGAGTATGTTTGTCTTCTGTTCAGGTTGCGTGGCTTCTCTAGCAATATGTATCTAATCTTTTAAAAGCATTTAGTTACTGGATAGAGCAATAAACTATAACATATAATTATGGAAAAACAGCCACTTATTTATTTGGGCGATCTATCTAATTATCTTTTTTTTTATTTATGACTTGGGTGTGCAGTTTTCCAATGAGTGAGCTATTTTGCAGAACCTCACAAGAGTGACAGGATTGAATTATCTAGATTCTAAAAATAAATACCTGGTTGCTGGAATCCTCCTGCTGGAGGATAACCGCCTGGTGCTTGTCCAGGATAACCGCTTGGTTGTTGTCCAGGGTAACCACCTGGTGCTTGACCTGGATACCCACCTGGTGCCTAAAAATACATTAAACGCTGTCCATTGTCCAAAATGAATATTTCATAACATCTCTTCCATCACAAGAAATACAATTTCATCAGATTCTGATTGATTAAATAGTAACATGTCCATCTGCTTGTCTTAACCAATAATAATAGCTATATAATCATAGGCTTTTCATTTACCTTTGCAAATTGTCTTTTCTGATTCAAATCAAGTGTGTGGTTTCTTTAAATTGAATTATAAAGCAAAATAACACTAAATTGTCTCAAATAATGTCTATTAACTAAGTCAAATATATTGCGTTCGATTACTTGCTTCAGGCTTACTCGACCAGGATCCTTGAGTATGTGTGGACATGCGCAGTGGGAACGGGTAATCAAACGGCGCAGTACTTTTTTAGGTATCAAAATGGAAGATAAATGCTGCCAAACAATCATGCTCAGTGTTCTGATAAATTTTGATGAGCTATTAAATCCGGGGAACCAAAATAAAGCTACAAAAAAAAACAATGTCCCGTGTATACATTGGCATGCATGTAAAAGATCCCTTGGCAGTCATGGAGGCTCGAGTAAGCGTGGCGCTAGTAATCGAACGCACCCTTAGTTATTTGTTGGATAAGAGCACCGCGCCCACAACACATTAAGATTTTGACACTTTTCAAAAGCATCCACCTGATTAAATTTGGTCTTGGCATTAGGCCATTTGATAAAAAACAAATGGATATTATTGTTTTAAGAGAAGGAGCAATATTAACCGCATAATACAGAAGGATGGATTCCTATGGCAGCTATTGGTCTTAATAGTAATAACCCAATATCAATACACTGTCCATCAAACCGAGTACTGTTATCATTTCTATAGTCATCAATGCATGTACTTGACGGATTGATAATTTACACATAGATCTCTGAAGCCATAATAAAGTTACAGTGTTATAATATCCGAAGTACTTGTACTCTTGTACAAAAAATTCAATTGAATGACAGTAGTCATTTGTTATGTGTTTCAGAAAGACTAATTAGCTAACCCGTCTGCATGCACAGAATATCTGCCTAATTATAAATGGCAAATTATTTATAGATAAACTTCGATGCCAATATAATATGAAACTGGGGAACAACGTCACATACACAAGGAAAGAATTCACATTTGTCGAATTGTCTACTTTCAATTTCCATTTCTGAGGCGGGGCAAATTTGAGTCTCGAGTTTTTACTACATTCACTGCCATAATATTTGAAATAAAAGTAAAGAATTATGCATCAACATTTAAACAATAAATATAATATAAACAATTTAAACGTAGGGTTACAATTAGAATATTGCAGGTAAAATTAATTAATTTCCTTCACCTGTCCATAATTGAACGCCATCTTGTAAGAATTATTTCAAATTTCGCAATGGCGGTTTGACGCACGGAACGAAATTGTGAAATCGTGTAGGTCCTTCAAATGTTTGTGCTTCGCCCACTTCCTAATTTGAGGTCGACTTAATTCAACGACACAATAAGTTAGACGTGACTTGGCTTTGTATCAGAATACTCTTCTAATCTATGTTGACTGCTGAGTCCGTTTAATGTGTAATGTCGATTTTACTTATTTTTGACTCATATTAGTCATATTGAAAAAACAAAAACAAAACAACAAAGATATTATATAGCTCCGATCATCACAGTTCTATACTTTTGGTCAGGTCACAATTATATGGAATACAATTACCGGTAATGAGCGACATTTCGACTAGGCTTCTCTAGACTTTATTACGTCAGGAGCTAAATCGCTAACATTTGGGACCTAGAAATTCACAAAAGTGGGTCGCAACGCATATAATACTGTCATATGAATGTATATAAACTGATTTACATTTAATGGTTTCCGTTTTTACTCCAATTTCAAATCAGTTATGTTCGGCAAAATAAGTCAGCAATCTCAATCGAGTGCAAATTTCTAGCGTCTAGTTATTCTAGTCTACATAACTCCATTTGATTTGGTGCAATGTGTCTAGCCTCGTCCCTCGAGTCTCTCAATACAACTGGGGCTGAAGCGCATTATGGTACACGATTCGTGTACCAATGTTAAAAAAAATATTTTATCTTAAATATCGGATATCAGAAGCTCATCTTTTCCCGGTAAGTTTACCTCATCAATGTTGATTTAAATTGACCAATAATTCGTGTTTTCAATGTCGAAGATTTTGGAGGATTTTGAGTTACGGACTTAGGTCCTTTAAGTTTCCTTCAAGCCAATTCGAAGGATGTTTCTGGTTAGTCAGCACTAAGTTCCATTGACGTAGGAGCCACGATGGGGAGGAGGGGGGGGGGGTGCAGTGGAGGGCCAGCCCTAACGTTCGCGCTATCTGCCTTTCGGGCAGACAGGTAAAGTGTAAACAAAAATTACTGACTCCGCCGTCAGTAACCCGAAATTTTTTCGGGCTTTTTAGGTTAACTGTTCCACCATCATTCATCGAACCCATCTAGATGGGACCAAGTATAATATTGTCTCGATATATTGTGTTATATTCATATCTTAGCTTGATAAAGACCTAGAGAAACCTAATCGAAACGTTGCTTATTAATAAGCACTAATTCCACTGAATTGTTACCTGTCTATTTCAGCTCAACTAAATGCCATTGAAACAATTTATACTTTTGGGTGTTTTTATTTATTTCTTTTTTTAAAAATGATAATTGGCGGTGAAAACTCTTACAAACCTTTATATTATTCCTGTGCAACTATTATCTGAAGCCCACGGTGAAAGGCATTCAGCTACCAAGACAGAATATTTGCGATGTAACTGAACGATGAAAACAAATACATCAACTCAAATACGTCGCTATTCCTGGCAGTTTAAGAGCGTCACGGTGGCTTAGTGAGCCCTTGTGTTGGCCGGGATTTTCCGGCGTGGATTCCCCTTATCAGTGGTGTTGGTCGACAGAGGGCCTAGTAAAGACCGCTGTCTAGTCGATCGGATGGGACGAAAAACCGAGGTCCCACATTGGTGTGCCGTTGCGCCGCTGTTTGGGCAAAATTTCTGTCATAGCACAGCGTATGCTGCATGCCCGTTTTCATTAGCCCATGCAGCCAGAGCAAAAAAGTGGGTGGACACGTAGTGACGGGTGTCTTGTACGAAGCAGGTTCTGCTGGTACTTTCTAGAATACTTGATAACACTTCTCGTATTTAGGATGATCACGTAGCTAATTTTCACTGTTCTAAAATATTACACTGCAACCAAAACTCAAAGCACAATAAGCCAAGAATAATTATTCTTCATTCATTTGTGACCCCACATTTTAAATGACTTACAGCCTTTATTTGGCTATGGAAATCGATATACGTCTTGATAAAAGTAATGAAACCTCGATCAACAAGTTAGACCGGATTAAACAACAACAAATTGATCGTGTCTGCAGATACAAGACTATAATAGAAACAGCATAAAAAGCAATACGAAATTTGAATAACACAATGTAAGTATTATATAGGCTACATTTAAGGGTTTTATTTATTTCATAAACACACCTGCAGAAATATTATTAGTTATTATTGAACTGAGGCTAAAATTACTTATTAACATGACATCTTATCGGATATGTTTAAAGAAGGTTTAATGTATAGGGAGAGGCCTTCGTTGGTTGGTACAATTTGTTTTACACTTTCACGATGTCGTAAGCAATGAAGATAGCGTCAAATATTAACTCTTTAGACTGCTACAAAAATAAGCAATCCATAACAATATGTACTGTGTTTAGAGCTATTTTTAGCTACGCGTAATCACCGATAAAAGGCGAGATGCCTTCAGAAATATATATGAATTATATTGAGCTTATACGTATCAATTTTCACTTAATTCATATTACCCGATGTTTAGTGTCGATAGTGAAAGGAAATTTGTTACACTTTTTTTTCTTCTCTTCTTTGAAAATTGAAATGGGATTTAATGTCCTACTGCTATGACTGAACTAATGCAGACAGGCATACACCATACGATGTGCTATAATGAGGGGAATTTTGCACGGACAGCAGTACCACGGCTTACTTTTATTTCGAATTTCAACTGCAAAGGTTTTTTACGTGCACGCCAATGTGTAAACGGGATCTCGATTTCCCGCCCCATCCGAACAAGTAGCCTACGTTGTCCGTTGCCAGGGCATCCATTCTGCATCATGGAAAGAGGGAACTACGCCGGAAAATTCTCTTCTTTTAAGTAAAACTTGAAATACGATACATGCAACAGGTTGTTCAAAATCCCTTATGTTCTTTAATCAATTTACACCTGCTTTCAGACTCAATAACGTTTCTTTGTACTGTTTTATGCCCTATACCTATTTAATTTAGGTCAAATTAAAATTTTGAATTGGATGTGTGATGAAACGCTATTTTTAGTGTTTCAGGCATTAATGCAAATCTAGACTCAGTCTTATATATTCATAATATGGTCCAAAAGATTATAAAGCTTGGCAGAGAACTAAGCAACTATTTTGTATTATCAATAGCGGACATGTTCAATAATGCGTGTTGATTCATTTCGTCTGCCGTCTTTACGAATGATTTAATAGAATGACCTGCTATGTATACTATAAAGTCACATGACCCCACCCTTACATGTCAGAAGTTTCCTGCTTGTTTGATTTATGTCATCCGTGTTATGACTCATTCGTGACACTTTATAGAGTTTACAAAACTATTTAAAAACAAATGATCACTTGAATTCGTTCGGTTGGGACGGAAAAGAATAAAATGAGGTTCCATACATACATTTACTGCGCACGCAAAAGATCTGGAGAAATAGTTTCGCAAGTTTGAGTTTTTGCATAAGTTCAGTTACAAACTTCGAACACCTCCAATGTATCTAGCTGTATTGTCTATTTTGGTCAAATCTAAAAACCCTTTTTTATCATTAGCCAGAGACAGCCTATTCCCTGAAAAGCATTGTTTATTGTTTTGAACTTCCTTTATGTCACACCAAATTTGATACTATGCTGTATTCTCTCATTCTTACCCATCGGCGGCGTTATTGAGTTTCTCTTGAAAAGAGAATTTAAGATCTGGGTGTCAATCTAAAGACAAGTAAAGACTATTTAACAGATTTTCCCAAGGATCAATGTTGTGTATTTGTTCTTTAAAAATTTGTCAACTTTGTTGAAACAATGACGCGACAATAATATTTACTTCTATAGCTATAGTAAAAAGTGAACTTAAACTGAATAAAAATAAACCCTTGAAATGCTAATGTTGTTCTAGGAGATATAGGGTTTTGAAAACGGTTTAAAGTCTCTTTAACATAACATTTCAATCATTCTGAGACGATGGCATGGTAACTTATATTTTTTAGCTTAAAGGAGGCAAGTCTGTAACTCAATATCATCCAGTCTTCGATATTGCAAACACGACTTTTTGGTTTTGGTCAATTTAAATCAACTTTAATTTTGTTATCTTACTGTGAAAAGATGGGCTTCTGATATTCAGTAATCAAGACAAAATGAATTTTTTAAAATTGTCACACGAATAGCGTGTAATGAAGCGAGGCGACAAACGAGGCTAAACATATTCCATGCACAGGAAAATACTACCGGTGTAGAGTGGAATAACCAGACACCAAAGGCTGCCATTCAATTTGGACTCTTCGCGTATTTCGCGGAACCATAACTGATTAGAAATTACAGTAAAAACAGAGGAAATTGATATCATGGTCAAAACAACCATAGTTATTGAAAATCGAAACCCTTGCCTATTGACACTCTTAAAGGCTTTATGGACAATGTAGGCCTAATAGTCAAATTGCAGCAAATGAAATTATTGCTATAGCGACTCCGCCGAAGACAACAAAGCGGAATACTGTTAACTATTCACTCTTCTCCATTTTAAAACAACTAGCCTTGAATAAATAAATAGAATAAAAGTAAACAACTGCCACTATTCATTTCTCTTCGCATGTATGGAAACAAAGAAATACTCGCGGACCTTCTTTAAATACGCGCTTTTATATCAAAGCAGTTTGTTTAAGACAAAGTCACATATTTCAAGATTTAAATGCCGCTTGTTGAATTTTGCATCCTTTAGTTTTGTTCTTTGCGGAAACAATTTCTAGTGAAATCAAATAATTACCCGTGTTCCCGAAATCTTTGCTAAATTCCACTATTGTTCGTTTCCCAGGGTGATAATATACAATTTTGGTAAATTTCTTAAAAGCCAGACACAGGTGCATGGTCGCTTTAAGCCTCTGAACGTCCAAATATATTTTCATTGTCAGCTGGAATTCAAATTAAGAATCGGGATTGAAACGCCAACAAAAACACACAAAATCATAATATTGTGACCCCTGAACATTTAGAGAAATTTTCTTGACCATTGACCTTTACGAAAACGCTTTAATCATCGTCTTTGTTAATTGACATCTTTCTTCTAAATTCGGTCGATTCCTGATTCCCCATGTGTTGGCGTTCGCCTCGATTGGTATATAATGCTTTCTTACCTACTTGAGGCAGTTGCCTTCCAGATACTTTAGATACTAGATGGTCGACCCCTAACCCTAACCCTGGAATTTCATTGGTAGAGGTGAGGAAGGACAGGGAATTTATTACAACCAACGATCTTTCACTTATTTTTGGTGTACTCATTATTGTTTTTGTGCTTCCTTGGCGACATTCCCTACATATATTGCAAGATAACATTGCGACATTGTTATGTTTCCATACAAATGTACTGATCACATGCATATACTTCCTTTGGGGCGTTACTGTGTCATTGGGAATCTTGTTTTCCTTGATGAGGTATGGATATTATATATATTTAATATTTGTACACTGGAAAGCGGACGTTAAATACAGTTATTTCACACACACTGGGAAGAATGTTTCTTACAAGAGACGGTAGTTTTATGTTGGGCGTATTCAAGAATAGAGTTTAATGTAGTTGTATGATAGTATTATAATATGTTTAAAGGAACATTCGGTGAAAATATCATTTGGATTTTCGATAATTACTAACATTTATTTTCTTGGTGAGTGCGATAGTATCCCTTTAACTGACTACCAGAATGTGTTTATTGTATTCAGCACAGAGTTTGTACCTGTTAGCCTATTGACTAATATAAAACATATAGACGAATGATACACACACATAATAAAACATATGAATGTTAGGCGGCCATACGGTCTAGTCTATTGATTAATCTAAAACGTACACGTATAAAATAGAATGAAATGAAATGGGGTTTAACGTCCTATTCATCTGCGCTGACTGGGCTAATGAAGACGGGTATACGCCATTATAGTATGCCATGATTGAAATTTTGCCCCGGACAGCGGCAAGGGATCTTTTATGTGTAAAGGAGACTTTGTTTTTTTGTCCCATCTGAAAGACCATACAGTGCCCCTTGCCAGGCCATCTGTATTGCTCCACTGACCAAAGGGGGGGGGGGGCTCACGCCGGAAAAAACGATGAACTTTATTTCGACCAATACAGTTATCGAACACGGGGCATCCAGGTTAGCGAGCCAACATCTTACTCACTGAGCCACCGTTGTTCCACGTACACTTATAATATAATGGCTTAGTCTGAAAAATATAGAATAGAACGGGGTTAAACACACTACTTCCGTTATTTTGAAACAAACGGTTATGCATTTATATCTATGGTTAAGTGTGCAATGCATGGTTGGTACAATTTGTTTTACACTTTCACGATGTCTTACTCACTGAGCCACCGTTGTTCCACGTACGCTTATAATATAGTGGCTTAGTCTGTAAAATATAGAATAGAACGGGGTTTAACACACTACTTCCGTCATTTTGAAACAAACGCTTATGTATTTATTTTTTATGGTTAAGTGTGCTATGTATGGCAGTTGAATTGGCGGCAACTGCTTTTTTCCGCCTACTCTTCTTCGATTTCCAACTCTATACAGGCTTTTGTTTTGAGGTGCACTTCAATGTGAACTTGCTTATGATATAAACAGAGCATCAATATCACGATATCCTGCTAGTCTATACTAATATTTGTGACTGTCGTTTGTCTGTCTGTCTGTTTGTCTGTCTGTTCGGGGTTGGCGGCTACACTAAGTCTGCCCCGAGTCTGAAATTTAGGGTATAGGGGTAGCTCGGACCGGGGAGTAACATAGGCCAGGTGGCGTTAGTCTACCACGTCCGGTTTCGGGGTTATGACCTCCGAGCGAAGCCGAGCATTCTGCTAGTAATAAATACTGGGTTTATGCTAATAACAGTAAGACATGTAGGCCTATTTATACGTTATTGGAAAATAAACAAATCACTACGTCGTATTTGGGCCTGACAAGGACAGCTGTCTAGTCGTTCGGATGGGACGAAAAACCGAGGTCCCGTGTACACATTGGCGTGCACGTAAAAGATCCCTTGGCAGTTGGAATTCGATATAAGAGTAGGCCGTATCGCCGCTGCCCGGGCAAAATTTTCCTCATAGCACACTGTATGGCGTATGACCGTCTTCATTA